GCTGCTAATTGGGTTTTTAATTCATCAAGTGGACGGCGCATTGTGAAGTCAGATTCAAGTTTAGGTATGGAGCGACATGCATATCATTTGAATTTATTTATTATATTCGCAACACGTGCAGCTTTATCCGCTGCCTGGTGTGGTGAGAGCTTTGTTTGCCCTGAAATAGTACTGCTAGTATTAATTTTTCTCGAATTTAGCAGAAAATGGGCACGATATCGTTAATATGTGTTTGAACACAGCACAGTCATAGTTTCCGTCTGCTTGTGTGTCGTAGTTGAAGTTGGAATCACCTTAGTTGTCGAGGTGTATGTACTTTGTGTGGTTTCTGTTTCCGCCGTATACTCTGTACTAGTGAACCCAATACTTGTTAGTGTGATCATATTGATAGTTGCTGTTGCTTCACTCGACATATCTCGTCTGATCAAATTTGGGTAGTCAGTTTCATGTATAGAACGAGGACTTTCATAGTGAACACCCATCTTCCCGCGCACATGACGCGTACGCCTGCTACGGGACAGCTCGTGCTTCCTACGTCTATCTCTATCTTGAACGTCTTCCAACGTTGAATAATACCCGTCACTTTCTTGCGCATACTCTTCCAATGCTTCGAGCATGGTTTTATCTACTTCGTATGTGTAGCTCTCTGTCGGTTGTAACTCTTCACATACTGTTTCTGTGACTGTAGCGTGTATGGTTGTGGTCACGGGCGTGTCGGTGTATTCAATTGTTTCAGTGTATGATTGTATGACCGTTGTGGTATCGTGTATAACGGTTGTTTCGGTCGCAATTATTGTTTCAGTCTCTGAAACAGCGAAACGCGGATCATCTGTACTGTACGATATCAATGAAGTCGCGCTGTAGCTCGCAGATGGTGAAGTAGTGGGTATTGACGATACGGATGGCATCACAGACATGGAATTTGTGGGGCTCGCAGTATCACTGGGGCTGCTAGAGGCAGAAGTGGAAACCAAAGGCGATAGTGACAGGAGAACAAACATCGAAAGTGTACTGGATGTCGCCGGCGTCGAAGTCGCATTCGGTGTCACGCTGATAGAAGGGGCTGTTGATGCGGTAGGCGATCCGGAAGGTGTGGCACTGTTTGAGGCAGCAACTGCTATAGAAGGTGACCAGCTAGCACTCACGCTGGAGCTCACAGTGGCAGTATTGGATGGTGTCATGGACATCGATGGTAGATTCGAGGATATAGGCGTCACGCTTTCTGCCTGAGTCATGCTCGTTGAACGGGATGCAGAGGAGCTACTGGTCCTTGATGGTGTAGTACTGACCGTTGGTGTGACGGACACACTAGCACTGTAGCTCGGAGATACGGAACCAGATGGTACTATCGATATAGATGGTGAAATTTCGGGCGTAGCATTTGGCGAAGAGGTCATGCTGTGTGACGGGGACACAGACCCACTGGCGGTCGCGGAAGGTCTGGTGCTGACTGATGCTGTGACTGACACTGAAGTTACTATACTTGTACTGGCAGTATAGCTCACAGACGTAGACGGTGACGGTGTAGGCGATAACGAAGGTGTCAGAGAGTTCGATGACGTGTTAGTTGGTGTGATACTCTCCGTTGTTGCCAAGCTGTACGAAGCAGTTGCTGACGGACTGGCTGTTTCGGATGGAGTAGCACTAGCCGATGCTGTGATAGATACTGAAGCTGAAAATGATTTCGATGGTGTGCTCGACATTGTGGATTTCGCGCTTTGGGCGTGACTCGTGCTACTTGAAGGTGTTGCAGATGCACTGGTAGTTTCTGATGGCGTAGAGCTAGCAGTTGGTGTGACAGATACTGAAGCTGTCAAACTCACACTAGTACTGTAGCTCGGAGATGCGGTGACAGATGATGTTACTGATATTGATGATGAACTCAAGCGTGTAGGTGTCGCACTTTCGGTTGGAGTCATACTGTACGAAGGAGTTATGGAAGAACCGGCTGTTTCCGAAGGCGTGACACTAGCTGATGCCATAATGGATACTGAAGCAGTTAGGCTTGGACTCGCACTGTAGCTCCCAGTTACAGAATTGAAAGGTGCCGAAGATTCATATGCTGTCACAGATATCGACGGCGTCATTGTGAGAGTGGCACTTTCAGTTGGTGGCACACTGCTTGATGAAACTGCGCTTGCTGAAGGTGTAGTACTACCCGATGGCGTGATTGACGGAGAAGCCCCTACACTGATAGAAGGGGAAGTAGATGGTGCAGCAGTGGTTGTTGGGGTAGGACTCGTCGACGAAGTGAATGACTCAGAGGGCGCGATTGTCACACTTGCACTGAAGCTTGGAGTAGTTGTAAGTGACGGTGACACCGTCTCTGACAGAGATGTCGATACACTGGTAGTTGGTGTCACGGAGGGACTTGGTATGGGATTCGGAGTCTAAATAAAAGCAAATGATTGGTTAAAGTGAATATTTCAAGGTGTGAATACCCGTGTACTCGATGTGTTAACTGCTGGCACCTCCAAGTAGGGGAACACAGCTCAACAGGAGAAAGCATCTGGGCTAGTATGTGCCGCCGAGCGGGTCGCTCCAGGACTCTTTAGACCTCGATATCATTCCACGGTACACTGGTACAAATAATACAGGTAGCATTGACTGAATAGTTTCAGGGCAAGAGAAATCGACTCAGCACTTACAGCGAAACATAGGTAGACCACTTCCGGTTCGTTGGCACCTTGGCATTGTAGGCCCAAATCATCCGTAGGATCTTCTGGTGCAATTTCATATCTGCGAACGTGACGATCGATACATGAATAGTATTGAGCAATACCACAATAAAATTCGTGATAGACATCTTCAATATCTCTATGCAATACAAATCCGGAGAATGACATTGAAAAGGTCTAGACCTAAACTTAAGAAGTTCACTAGAATAAGAAGCACTGCAATGCTTTTGAGGTACATCATAGGTAAATAAAAAATAAGTTTTAATTTACCTACTACGAGTAGTTTGGTCGAGGACCCGACGATATGTCACGTATATATATATATATATATATATATATATCTGATCCCCGTATGCATAGATAAAAAATGATTATATTGAACTCTTCCATAGTTCTACATATGCAAAACTACCATAGTACGCATCGCTGATTATGATAGCTGAATATATTATTGTTAACAGTCAACGAATATGCACGTTGAGCGTCATTTATACATATCCTGGTACAACGGGGTTGGTGAGTATGCTTCACGGTCAAATCATCAGAAACATGTCATTATTTACTCGGTGGTATTGATAGCACTCTCTGTATAAACTGTTAAGCACATATAACTTACAAATATGTACGGATTCATTGAGCTGAAAAATTCAGTGTTCATATTAGCGTGACATGAATGCATTGCCATAAGTATTCTTGAACTTAAACTCCATCCCTATATTATTTCGAGATAAATATTTCATCGAAAACAATCGTTGTTTATTTTCAGAGAGAATAATACTTCTCAAACGCACATACACTGCGCAAAAGAGTTCTTTTGATGATACCACCAAGCACGAAACAAACCAAACCACAATGTACGGCACATTGGTAGCACACGTTCATATGTTGTAGAGGGTGTTGTGCACAACAAATGCTCATGATCAGCTGAGTATCTACACATGTATATTGTCGATCCGTTTAAGTCTCTGTTATATGGAAATTATGCACGTGACGACACTCTTCGAAGTACCTCTTGGAAATTCTCTTTTGGACATTTAAAAGAAATATCACAATAATATCGCACAGGGTGCTAATTTGAAGCATTACTTATCCATACATATGTTCTACTTTTTCATAACGCAGATCTGAAACAAGAGCTTTGTAAGTCTGCGAGATTTTATGCAAGTATAGTATACAAGCTTGGGATCTATTCATTCTGACCTTCACAAAGAGAATGCGATTGTCAAAGTGTGCATGGCCAAATCATTACACAGATGAGTATGATAACATATTGCCATCGCATCTAGTATTGAGATATTCTCAAACGGTGTGTAAGTAAATGTGTTTCAGGCCTGGAGGAAATAGGTAGACTTAGAGGAAACTTTCACTCACAGGAATTGCAATACACTATAGTAAAAACCTGTTATCAACACCACGGACTTACGTTTTGTAAGGCAAACTTTCAAGACCAGGCCCAATCTGGCATACCAGCCACGCCACCGGAACAGTTGGTGTAGTGGTGTATGCGTCAATTCCAATAGCCTCAGTGTCACTCTCTAAGTACGTTATCTCCACCTCGACCTGTTCAATGCCCACAGCAGTTTGTGGGTCGGATGTCGTGTTTGGATATATTACACTGGTGCCAGGAAGGCCAAACATGTCCTCGCATGTAACTGGACGATCCCCACACCATATACAGCTGTTGCCATCGGGACAAAACCATCCCGGCAGTCCAAAGTCGCATATGTTTTCGCCTTCCTGTGCATGCACGCTTGCACTGACAGCGAGCAGCCAAATGGAAAGAAGACCGCGATACATATTCGAGCCAGGTACAGCGAAATAACAAGCTATATTTATGTTACTATAGTGGTAACACACTCTTGTGCACTAAGCGGTTAGTGTTGCCTTTCTATCTTTCCGCGTGTTTGGCACTGTGGCGGACTCTCTCTCGCGTTTACAATGTCACACAGTCGCAGTCCTGTGTATGTATGAAAATATAAAATCCTAAAAACCCTGGGCCTGGGGAATAGGTTACTCTTGCTTCTCTGGAGTGTGTAAAAGATTTTGATGACGGATTATTTATGGCGTGGCGTGAAAGACGGAAAAAGATCCTGAGCCTGCCGCCCGACAGCCGACAGCTTCTCTGTTACCATAGAAACAGCTCAATGAGTTGATTCGTGCTTTTTGGCGGGTACAGTCATATTTCATATAGCCTTCTAAATTTGAGAATAATTAGCCTTCATGTTCTATTTCAGAAGGCTCTGGAGAATTAAAGAATCGAAATTCGGAAAAATCAAGATCAATTCTTCTTGTGCTCACATTTCACAAGCTTCAGCCTTCGGCCTCAGCCTTTAAGTCTTCAACTTTTAAGTCCTTTTTGGCGGGTACAGTCATAGCCTTCTAAAAATTGAAACACAGTATTTGAGAAATGAGAATTCAAGAAGCGAAATTCGGAAAACTTCTTGCTCGGACACAAGCTTCAAGTCGCAACAAAGGTGGAGAACTTTGAAGCGGTAAATAAATAAATACGAAATAGTCGGGAGAGGATAAATATGTATTTACGCAAGTGTGATTCAAAAAAAACCCCCATCGCCTTCTGAAAATCGAACACATTAGCGCGATGAGAAATTCACACCTGGGAGGACTTTGGCGTTGTGATCTCTCTCTGAGAATCTTGTTCGCATCCTTGATAGAGGTCTTGGTAGCCTACGAACACCGGAGGTTTGTCGTCATAATTACAATACTTTGAATACAAAACTAATGTCAAGTTCAAGATATATATTCCAATACAGTGAGTATTCTTGCTACTTACGAAATCTC